TGCCTGTCTACCTGTCCGTCTGTCTGCCTGTCTGCCTGTCTGTCTCCCTGCCTGTCCGTCTGCCTGTCCTCTGTGTATTCCTTTAACTGCTCTTTTCTCTCTGTCTCCCTCCGTCTCTAATTCTCCTCTTTCCCCGCCATCTGCGTCTGAACGAGGAAGATGGTAATGTAACTCTCTGCACCTCTGGCTGGGAATGGATTCAAGCACCCAGCAGAACCAAGCTGCCCTCTGTCACCAAGTCAGTCCTGACTGCTTAGGGAAAACAGCCCCTGGCTGGGTAAGTTCCACTGGGTTGGAAGAGATAGTAATCCATACAGGAAGACACAGCTTCATGCAGTGTGGCCTTTGTCTCTGGACACCCTTCACAACTGTGTGGCATCTACGCCTTGGGTGCTCAGTGGCCTCAACAGCCCTGGGTCCTGGGCTAACTGGTAGAAGAGACAAAAGATCTGTGTTCAGCTGAAGCTAAGATCATTGGTAGGGACCGTGATGTTCTCCCTTCCTGAGATAAAAGGTGGCACAGGCCACCTTATAGGTGTCCCTTTCTGTGCGTTTTGGTGGGGTATGGGGTAAAAAGAGTCTTGTTAAAAAAATCCCTGTATTTACTAAAAGCTTACTAATTTTATCACCGGTATTATTAATAGAAAAGCATACAGATTGTGAGTTCATACATATTTTTTTATTTTATGATGAATAGGATCCCAAAAGCTAGTAAAGAGTCAGAGACAGCCCCTGTTCCCACTGTTATGTGTCTTATAAGAGCACCAGACTACATAACGGTAACACACATAGAGTGCCTAGGTCAGCCCCATGCAGGCTCCTTGCTTGTCAGTTCAGTCTCTGAGCCTCTGTGGGTTTTCTTGTGATGTCCTTAACCACTCTCTCTGGATCCTATAATTCCCCTCCCCCCTTCAAGATTCCACGAGCTCAGCCTAATGTTTGGCTGTGGATCTCTGCACCTGTTTCCATCAGTTCCTGGATGGAGCCTCTCTCTTGACTACGGGGCTGGGCACCAATCTGTGAGTAGCACATGTTTTTAGGCGTCCGTACATTGGCATTTCTTCCCTCTGCAGTCATATTTAGTCTCCTGACCACCCAGCCTCTGGGTTCCGGCATTCTCATGGGTCTCAGGCTGGACCAGGCACCTACAGTTTCTGTGCCACCCTTCTCCCGGCACATCCCACTGGCAGGGCAGACTGTAATTTGAAGATTATATAGTTGGGTTGGTGTCCCAATCCCTCCCATGGAAGTCTTGCCTGGTCACAGGGGATGGCCAGTTCAGGCTACATACCCACTGTTGCTAGGGATATTAGCTAGGAGCTAGCTCCACATCTTCTCTAGCATGAGATATTACTTGTGTTTTTGATCTTAGCCATTCAGACAAGCATAAGATGGAATCTCAGAGCTATTTTGATTTGCGTTTCCCTGATGACGAAGGATGTTGAACATTTCTTTCAGTATTTCTCAGCCATTTCAGATTCTTCTGTTGAGAATTCTCTGTTTAGATCTGTACCCCATTTTTATTGGATTATTTGTTTTTTTTTTTTTTTGATGTCTAGTTTCTTGAGTTCTTTATCTGTTTTGGAAAGCAGCCCTCTGTCCGTGTGGGGTTGGTGGAGATCTCCTGTTCTGCAGGCTGCCACTGTGTGCCATAACAGTGCCCTTTGCCCCCCAGAAGCGTTCTAGTTTCAGGAGGTCCATTCATTAATTGTCGATCTTAGTGACTGCACTGGGGTTATATCCAGGAAGCGATCGCCTGTGTCAATTCTACTTTCCCTTCTATCAGGTTCAGTGTCACTGGATTTATATTGAAGTCTTTGATCGCTTGGACTTGAGTTTTGTGAAGGGTTGTGGATATGGATATATTTGCATTCTTCTACATGTTGATATCCAGTTATGCCAGCATCCTTTGTTGAAAATATGCTCCTTTTTCTATTATATAATTTTGGCTTCTGTCTCAAAAAATCATGTGAACACAGGTGTGTGGATTTACACCTGGGTCTTCGATTATTTGATTCCATTGATCTGCCTGTCTGTTTTTGTACCAATACCATGCAGTTTTTATTATGATAATTCTGTAGTAGAGCTTGAAATCAGGGATGGTGGCGCCTGCAAAAGTTCTCTCATTGTACAGGGCTGTTTTAGCTATCCTGTGTTTGTTCTTTTTCCATATGCAGCGGAGTATTGTTCTTTAAGGTCTATAGAGACTTGTGGTGGGAGTTTAATGGGGATTGTATTGACTCTGTAGAGTACAGGACTCAGGTGTAATTCAGAGAGGCTCGGGTGTGATTCAGAGAGTTGAGGACTCAGGTATGATCCAGAGAATTCAGGGACTCTGGTGTGATCCAAAGAGTGCAGGACTCTGGTGTGATCCAGAAAGTGCAGGACTCAGGAGTGATCCAGAGAGTGCAGGATTCAGGTGTGATCCAGAGAGTGCTGGAACTCATATATACAACATGCCAGGACTCAGGAGGGATCCAAAGCCTATAGTTGTATCTGGGGGAAGGCATGAGGAAGTCAGGAAAGTTGTGAGTCTGGCTAGTGTGGTGAGGATTGTGGCTAGTGTGGTGAGGATTGTGGCTAGTGTGGTGAGGATTGTGGCTAGTGTGGTGAGGGTTATGGCTAGTGTGGTGAGGGTTATGGCTAGTATGGTGAGGATTATGGCTAGTGTGGTGAGGATTGTGGCTAGTGTGGTGAGGATTGTGGCTAGTGTGGTAAGGGTTATGGCTAGTGTGGTGAGGATTGTGGCTAGTGTGGTGAGGATTGTGGCTAGTGTGGTGAGGATTGTGGCTAGTGTGGTGAGGATTGTGGCTAGTGTGGTGAGGATTGTGGCTAGTGTGGTGAGGATTGTGGCTAGTGTGGTGAGGATTGTGGCTAGTGTGGTGAGGATTGTGGCTAGTGTGGTGAGGATTGTGGCTAGTGTGGTGAGGATTGTGGCTAGTGTGGTGAGGATTGTGGCTAGTGTGGTGAGGATTGTGGCTAGTGTGGTGAGGATTGTGGCTAGTGTGGTGAGGATTGTGGCTAGTGTGGTGAGGATTGTGGCTAGTGTGGTGAGGATTGTGGCTAGTGTGGTGAGGATTGTGGCTAGTGTGGTGAGGATTGTGGCTAGTGTGGTGAGGATTGTGGCTAGTGTGGTGAGGATTGTGGCTAGTGTGGTGAGGATTATGGCTAGTGTGGTGAGGATTGTGGCTAGTGTGGTGAGGATTGTGGCTAGTGTGGTGAGGATTGTGGCTAGTGTGGTGAGGATTGTGGCTAGTGTGGTGAGGATTGTGGCTAGTGTGGTGAGGATTGTGGCTAGTGTGGTGAGGATTGTGGCTAGTGTGGTGAGGATTGTGGCTAGTGTGGTGAGGATTGTGGCTAGTGTGGTGAGGATTGTGGCTAGTGTGGTGAGGATTGTGGCTAGTGTGGTGAGGATTGTGGCTAGTGTGGTGAGGATTGTGGCTAGTGTGGTGAGGATTGTGGCTAGTGTGGTGAGGATTGTGGCTAGTGTGGTGAGGATTGTGGCTAGTGTGGTGAGGATTGTGGCTAGTGTGGTGAGGGTTATGGCTAGTGTGGTGAGGATTATGGCTAGTGTGGTGAGGATTATGGCTAGTGTGGTGAGGATTATGGCTAGTGTGGTGAGGATTGTGGCTAGTGTGGTGAGGATTGTGGCTAGTGTGGTGAGGATTGTGGCTAGTGTGGTAAGGGTTATGGCTAGTGTGGTGAGGATTATGGCTAGTGTGGTGAGGATTATGGCTAGTGTGGTGAGGATTATGGCTAGTGTGGTGAGGATTGTGGCTAGTGTGGTGAGGATTGTGGCTAGTGTGGTAAGGGTTATGGCTAGTGTGGTAAGGTTATGGCTAGTGTGGTGAGGATTGTCAGAATAGGGTGAGCATATGTCTGGTGCTTGGTGTGGAAGGCTGCCTGTGCCTGCACCTGAGCTAATGGTGTTACCACTTCCTGGCTTCTGGGTCTATTCCTAACTGTGCTGTAAGTTTTCTCACTTCCTGAAATGTGACCAGGTACACCTCTTTAATTCTAATTCCTGACTGATTATCCCTTAAAAATAAACCAGGAACTTCTAGGGAAGATGCATGCATAGATTCAATATCAGTACTTAATCTGCAGACTGAATTCGGGTCTGCTGTCCAACCCCAGGATGTTCCCCACAGGAAACAAACTTTTGGGTCTTGCTTGTTGTCCCTGTACTGTGCAGCCATTGTTCCAGCCCAGAGCTATTGGGAGGGAGCTTGACTGTGCACATGCATGTGTGTGTGTGTGTGTGTGTGTGCATGTGTGTGTGTGTACACACACCTTTCCTATTTGCATACGGGTCCAGACCCTGCCTCAGTTTCATTCTGACTGGCAAGTGTCACTGGCATTGCTTGGTGCTGTGAGCCTTTAAGTAAAGACCGTTAGGACCGTGTTTACGTTTGTGTCCGATCACCGGGTGTGGCTCTGTCACTCAGGGTAGGAGCTATGTCAGTGTACACCCCTGCTGGGACTCAGGTCTTCATGCTCCTTTGTCCTCCAGTTGGTCCAGCTACTTCCTGCCACACTTCCTGTTATATCCTTGAGGCTTTGTTTTTCAACTGGGCTGGATTTTAACTCAGCTCAGAATTTGAGCAAATCATTCACCATTTGAAGATTTACCCTTTTCTTTAAAATTTTGAACATACTTTTAATTAAAATATGTTACGTTTTCCTCCTTTCTCCTCCCTGTAGCCCCTCCCATGTCTCCTCCTCTGACTTCTCATGACCCCCAGGATGTAGGTATATAGGAAATAGAATTCCATTTGCTCAGGAATTAAGGCCAACAAGCGAAAACTGGGACCTTGTGAAAATCTATTGCTTCTGTCAACACACACTGGCTAAGTTCAGGCTTAAGCGAGATAGTATCATTCGTGGGTTTGGACCAAACTGAGATCGCAAACACAGCTGATGAGGTTTTATCGCCTGCCTCCTGTTTGATCGCTGCAGTCCACGACCATTGGGTTGACCTCTCCATCCTGTCTCCCCAGGACTTCGTGTCTACCATCATCCGTTTGCTGGACAGTCCGTCCACTGCCATCCGAGCCAAAGCCGTCCTGGTGCTGCTTTACATCCTGATCTACAACCGGGACATGCTGCTGCTGAGCTGCCAAGCGAGGTATGGCGCTGCGCCCGAGAGTCTGTCGGGGCTATTGATCAGTGCCTTGTAGTGTCCTGGAGACGACTTACTGGCCTTTATGTATCTGCTGTTGAAAGCCTTTTCTAAAGTTTACCAGGAGTTTGATCTGTCTCTCTGTATCCTTAGCTTGTAAGCCCAGACAGGATCCTGAGCACAAACAAGTAAGGTCTCAAGGGCTTTCTTTGTGCCTTCAGGGTACCAAGGTTTCCCTGAAAGAGTCTAGGCTGAGAAGCTGAAGGTGCCATTGTAGGGGGTGGGATTGCCAGAACAACCCTGGGCTAGGCGTCCGTCTGTCACTTTGAGATTTATCTATTTATTTATTTAAGAAAGGGATTGGTTTTGTAGTTCAGGCTAGCCTTGAACTCTTGGACTCCCTGCCTCCACCTTCCCAGTACTGGGGTTGCAGGTGTGAACTACCACACGGGGCGTCCTCTCTGTTTCACCCTTCCTGTCAGAGAAAGAGCTGTCCTGGTGCCCCCAAAGTTCTAGTTGTGTTTGGCTCATTCTCACCCACATTCCCCCTCAGCTCTGCTCCACTGGGGTCCAGAGAGTCCTGAAAATCTAGTCGATATCTTTTCATTTGGAGCCTGGAGCTCCCTGTATAGTCCAGGCTACCCTAGAACCCACTGTGTTGTGATCTTCATGCCTCAGCCTCCCAGAGAGGTGGGATTCCAGACCTCCTGGAAACCCCAAGGCATGGTCAGTTAGGGCTCGTGCCCTCCACTTCCTCCTGAGAGGGACTGTCCACACTCTAAGCAACTGGTGTTCTTGGGACGGTGGTGGCCGTTTCATGTGGCGGATCCTGCTCTGTGACCCCTCCAGGGCAGCGTGAGGCTGCAGTCTCTGCTGGGACTCCTAAGCTTCTAGTAGTGTACGTATTGCGGCCTGAAGAAGCACCCATTGCACACTCTGGAGCAATGCAGTGAGCAGGGTGGCCTGGGCACAGTGCAGACAGCAGCAGAAATGGCCTCGGTGTGACACCAGTCCCTGAGGTCATGTGACCCCGAAGTGTGGCTCCTCCTGTGTGGATGCTGTGTGATCCCGGGCAGGACCCGTGTGGCTGGTGGGCCAGATTGTGAGGGACAGCGCCTCACCTTGTCCTTAAGGAGAAAGGCTTCTTGTCCTACCTTTGTCTGTTTCACTCGGTCATTCACTGAGTCGTGAGGACAGCGGCAGGCTGAGGCCATCCCCGTACACGTAGGAAGCCTTGAAGGGGAAAGTACAGGAGGACCATGCAGCTTGCAGCAAAGCAACTAGTGGAAGAGACAGGAGAATTCTGTCACTGTGGCTCTGGGAGAGGCTTCTGAACATTAGCGAAACTGAAAAAGAGATGGCTTCGGCAGGGATGCTGTTTCGAAAGGCTGTGAGCCAGTGGCAAAGACTCAGGGAAACGGGTCACAGCCTCCAGAAGACACAGAGCAGGAACTGGAAACCTCACACAAGAGCCAGGAATCCTGGCGGGGCCTGGGACAGATGAGTTTTAACTCAGGACGTTGGAGCAGGCTTCTTCCAGGTGCTGGCATTCTCTGTGGTGCTTGCTTGACCAGGACAGTGTTAGAAAGACCAGTGACGTGGGGGACTGAGGCGGAGTGGAAGACAGTGGCCAGGTGGACTTGTTACCTCAAGCTGTGCTTTGATGCTGAGAAGCTGGTCAATGACTCGCTCGCCCAGCAGGGACAAAGCAGCTAAGGTGCCTCACTGTCTACAAGGGAAGAGGCAGACCTAAGACAGAAGTCTGGGAAGGGCTGGAATTGGGGTACCAGGCTCTCTGAAGGCAGGACTGCAAAATGTCCCTGGAGCCCCAGAGGCTCCTTGTCTCAAGAACTGAGAGGGACCGTTTCAGAGGAACAATACCCAAGTTTGATCTCTGGCCTCCATGGGTATGGGGACACATGCACACAAACACACAGGCACACACATAGACACAGGCATATATACACACATGTGCACACACACAGGGCAAAGACAGGTTACATTTGCTGTGGGAGGGGCCTCTTCCGTTGCCCTCCTTAACCTGAGTTATTGATTCTTTGGACACACCTCCTCCCTCTGGCTGCTAGCTGTCCTGGTCTCAGGTCAGTCTTGGTGGCTGACATTCCTTTCTACATGGTGTGGCCTTTCTCTCTACCGTTCAAAGATACTTTCTTCCCATCAAAGTTCAAAAGTTTTATATAAAATCTTTGGGGAGTGTTTCTTGAATCTGTAGATTCATATCTTGCCCTCGGCTCCCCTCTGGAGACTCTGATGTCATGCGTGTAAGGTGTGAGTTGATTGTCCTGTTGTTACCAGGTCCTCTGTCTTTTGTTCCCTCTGGGTTTTAGTCTTTATAATTCCAAACGCTCTCTTCTCAAATCCCCGGCACGACTTTCTCTTCTCTACTGTTGAGCCCATCTAGTGACGTTTCTGCATTTTCACTTGTTCATTTTTATGAACTTTTTTTTAAATTAAGAGTTTAAATTCTTTCATTAGATTTAAAAGAATTTCAGTGCTTTTTTTTTAAAGGTTATTTTTATTTTACTTCATTGACACGTTTCTGTTTTCATTAAACTTGTGGTTTATGGACCCTATTTTCAGAAGGAGCCCCTGGATGGTGTTCTGTCAGACTACACTTTACGGTTCACTGTGACATGGGACAGCACACTGATGTGTTCATTTTCCAACTTTATTAACTGTCAAACGTTTTTTCTTTTTAATATTAATTAGTATGACTCAGGGCTATATTTTCACTTGGTTTTTCTTGTGGTACCCCATTTTGATATGTTTTCACTGCTAGTCACTTCTAAACAGACTGAGATTTTAATTTCGATTTTTCTCTTAAAAGCATGGGTTAACTTTTGCTACAATAACTGGCCCCCCGGGATGAATTTATTTGTTACTTTTCTAATTGCTGCCGGAATGTGCCTGACTAGAGCCAACATAGGGGAGCTAATTTGGGGGGTGGCTTATAGCGTGAGGTGATCTGGCCCATCTGGCAGGGAAGGCGTGGAGGCAGGAGCATGAGGCTGCTGGTTACACTGCATCCACAGTCAGGAGTCAGGAGACGAAAACTCAGCCCACTGATGTCTTTCCAGTCTGGGCTCAGTCTGTGGGGTGCTTCTCCAGTGAGGCTGGACTATAGACACTCCTTCACAGGAATTTCAGTGCTTTTTGGGAATTTCAATTTTTGACTCTATTTTTGGAGGGTTGGGGTCATGCATGCCCCAAGCATACATGTGGAGGTCGGAGGACACCTTCGGGGTGTCGTTCCCTCCTTTACCTTCTGAGTCCTGAGGATGGAATGAGGTCATCAAGCGTGGGCAGCAGCCACCTTTGCGTGCTCACCCCATTATAGAAGCTTTTCAAAATGGCGTCCGTTGCTTGCTAGATCCTCCCAGCATGGGACTTGCGCTGCTGTCTGCTCACGTCCAGCTGGGTCGTGTTAGGATTCCAGCTCTTCACTTCTCTGGGTGGAGTTAAGATGTTCTGCGTGCTTTTCTTCCTGGGAGATTCAAGTCTCTCTTGGTCTGGGGTGCAGAGAAGGGGGTGCTGGTTGCTGGACCTCCGGCACTTCTCTTCTGTGGGAATTGGGCTGTTGCCTTGGGAAAGGAAGGCGGCTCTCAGTCAGGCACTGGTGTTGCTGCTGCCGGGAAACCTCGAGAGCGGTCCAGCTTTGCTGGGAGGGAAATGGAGGGCCAGCCTGTGACTCATGACTCCTTTCTGTCTCGGAGAATTGGGCCGCTGCTGTCAGCTTCCTCCTTGCAGGGGAAGATGGGGACCTGGAGCAGGTACTGCAGTGGAAGGCCAGCTCCTATTGCCACTAAAGCTGTGCAGGAGAGGGACAGGTCCTGTGTGGCTTCCCTGTGATCTGCTAGCGATCTTTTTACCTGGGGCGCAGGAAGACTCATTGCGACTGTTCTGGGATGGAGGCTTGGGGAACTGAGGAGCTAAGGAAATGAAGACAACGCATGGCTGCCCTGTTCCTCCCATGTCCCCATCTCCTCCACCCCTGTTCTTCAGGCAGCCCACCTCCTGTTTACTCTTTGAAGTCTAATTGGGCTTGTTTCAATTTTTTAAACTTGATATTACTGCTATGTCAATGGTTCTCGGCTGTGATAGAGAACTCAGGAGTGAGGCTGCTCCATACCAACAGAAGAGGGAATTACAAATCATCTTGATGATTGCTTGTTGAAATCCTAGTGCTGCAGCCTTCAAGAACGAGCCAGGAAATGTCTCTGACAGTAAATGCGCCATCATTTCGGTTTTACATTTGATATTCGGGCACTATGAATGTGAGTGGTTGAGGTTCCATGCCCCAGGGTGTCCAGTGGGTGTTGTTACTGCCAGTGCTGATGGCGTGGGATCCTGGGAGCAGTCAGGCATTGACCTGGGGTTGCTCGTTAGGTGTCCATAAAGGAGGAAGGGAAAGACCTGCTCTGTGTTCATTGTGAACTTGTTTGGTAAAAGAAGAGCCCTCAGTGACTGTACACATTTATTTTCATGTATCTGCGTAAAGTCCTTCATGTTGATTGAGGTTTCTGTCCTGCCCAGTCCCGCAGCTGTTTAGTCCCAAATAAACACACAGAGGTCTACATTAATCATAAACTGATTGGCCTATTAATTAGCTCAGGCTTCTTATTAACTCTTATAACTTATATTAGTTCATAATTCTTGTCTGTGTTAGCCACATGGCTTGGTACCTTTTTTGGTGAGGCAGTCACATCTTGCTTCCTCTCTGTCTGGGTGATGACTGCAGACTGAAACTTCCCTCTTCCCAGATTTCTCGTTGCCCCATCTCTCCTTCCTGCCTGGCTACTGGCCAATCAGCGTTTATTTAAAAATACAAGTGAGAGGGTACAGACCATTGTCCCACAGCACCTTCAAAAAATAGGAACTGAAGAATGAGACCAAACTGATTCCCTGAGGCAGGTGGGACAGAGGTGTCACCTCCCTCACTGGTCCGAGTGTGAAGGGATCCCAGTGGCTCATGGCTCTACATACTG